TGCGGTCCATATCTCACTAAAATATCTAATGCTAGTAACTAGGCCTATTAAAGAAACAATGGGGACAATTCTGTTTTATTGTAGATTGACCATTTTAACTGCTTGCAGACATACTGATAAAATAGGGGTTCTAACTAATTACCTGTGGTATCTTACCTTTTGTTATTATTACATGTTATTGCATTTATCCAGCAGGGGGCAAACTTACTCTTTGTACTAAAAGAGCCTGTTGTATATGTTCCCATGAGGAAGTCTCGGGAAGTCCCGGGAAGCATGTTACAAAATTAAAACAGCTAAACCTACTCCGATGTTGTGGAATGTGGACATACAATTATTGGTCAGAAGATACAACATACCTGAAATAAACTCACTAATTAATGAAACCATTTCGATATGCATTATTCGTATCATTCTTTATGAGTGCGGTATCTAATTGCTTATTTATTTAGTAGGCCTATTCCATAACTTAAAGGTAGGTAGGTACATTTGAGAAACCGGCTCGAGATCGCTAGAATTTGAAAATACACAACCGGAGAAAATCTGCCACTTCCTTATAGAGCCCCTCCTCCAACACACGAACGCGCACATGACCAATGAGCGCACGAGATAAGTTTGTGCACAGATGGAAGGCTGACAGGCAGGTAGGCCATCCAGTTATTTTAGCCGGGCCGGCTAAAATGATTGGTCGTGCTTTTTACAGTACTACGGCTTCCACAGATGACATTTTTTTATGGATTTTTTGTCAAAGCACTTAAGATATTCATTGCTATCGGGATGTTAAGAGCATTCCATGGAATATAACAAAAAGTGTATCTCGAGCCGGTTTCTCAAACTTACATACCCTACCTTTAATAACAGAGATGGTCAAACTAAAGTGGCAGAAATCCTACAATGAAGCGGGACAGTGAAGTGTTCTCCCGTATGTGAGAGGGCGATCAAGAAAAGAGAGCGAGCGGCCCGGTTGAGGGAGTTTACAGAGCAGATGAAAAGACACAAATACAGAAGCACAATAACAGGTATATTTAGGTGTTTTTTTGTAAATAACCGACGGTGTCAAGAGGATACAGTCCCCTGGTTTGTCCCCTATACTCTCACTGCCATGAGAAAACTTAAACACTATTTGCCAAAAGCCGACACTAGAGGTGGTCTTAACGCACCGGCACCAATACAACTAAATGTTGAATATTCCAGCAGCTTTCATATACAAACAAAACACATCGTAGGGCAGCCTACATCTTATAAAACACATGGATTGTGATATAGCTTCAGTCCTGTTGCCTGCTACCCATGACTTAGGTAATTATATTGCTACCAGGAACTATAATAGATTCTAAGATACAAAAGACAAAAGACAAATGTTCAGCACCATGGACAGTGTTTAAACCTGTGTAGCCTTGTACATATATGTTTATTTTAAAGTTTTTGCTAAAATTAGAAAACACGCTCTCTTTTGGAAAACATGAGGCCAGCATGACAACATTCAGACTGCAGTGCCATACACAAAGTTACTAATGATAGAAAAAGTAATAGACTAAATAACCAGAACATATTTGATCATTTCCAGAGAGGGAAAGCACTGCTTATTTCTGAAACACCAACCAAAACCACATTTAGCTCTTTCACAAATAGCAAGCTCTAAAATATCACCAATTTGTTGTACAATAAGTAGAGGAAGTTAGCCGCAATACGTTATTTGTACAAGTTACAGTATATGCAATACAAAAGTTATTAAATGAATGCTTAAGTCTTACCTCTGTAGATGTCCCCCTTCTGTCAGGAAGCACTAGTGTGTTGGCATGGCTGCCCGGGACTATAGTAGATCCTATACTCATTCTGGGTCCAACTAACATGTACCGCTTGTCTCCAGATCTGTACTGGATGCTGTGACACAGTGTCCCATCATAGTTAGTCTCTTGTAGATATTTAGAAGTATAGTCTGTTGACTTAGAGCACTGCATTGCAATCAGCACGATGATGCTGATGAGAAAAAGTGTTGAGACTGAGCCCAAAGTTATCATCAGGTAAAAAGTCACATTATTATCCTCATCATCCTTGGTTGCACTTTTAACATCAGCAGCAGCAAAAGCCTCTCTGGGCTCCACAAGTTTAACAACCACAGTAGCTGTTGCTGACAGGGAAATGTTGCCATTGTCTTTCACCAATATGAGCAGTTTATGCTCAGCCTCGTCCGTCTCTGTGAATGAGCGAAGTGTTCTGATCTGTCCTGTATAGCGGTCCAAACCAAAGAGACTGTGGGCAGTAACTTCCTGCAGTGAGAACAGTAACCAGCCGTTATATCCTATATCAGCGTCATAGGCTCTGACTTTAGTCACCAAGTGTCCTGCGTTCACATTGCGGGGAATCTCCTCCACACCTTCAGCAGAACCGTTAGAGCTGACCGGATACAGGATGACTGGAGCGTTGTCGTTCTGATCCAGAATGAACACGTGCACTGTGACGTTGCTGCTTAGTGACGGAGTTCCAGAATCTGTGGCGACAACTTGGAACTTGAACGTTTTCAGAGTCTCAAAGTCAAAGCTTTTTAGCGCTGAAATATCTCCAGTTTCAGAGTTGATATTTAGGGAAGACATTAAGTCATTTTGACTGCCTTGTCTCACTATACTATACGAAATAGCTGAATTGTCATTCAAGTCATTGTCTGTTGCGCTTACAGAGAAAATAGAATTTCCGGCAACGTTATTTTCTACCAGATAAAACTCTAAAGGTGTTTTGTCGAAAATAGGTCGATTGTCGTTGACATCTGATATCTGAATGTTGAGAGTTTTAAATGTAGATAAAGGAGGTTCACCACAATCAGTGGCTTTTATTGTTATTTCAAAATGTGACACCTGCTCTCGATCCAAAAATCCCTTAGTGACAACCGAGTAAGTGTTTTCCTTATAGGAGGGCTTTAATTCAAACGGAACTTCTGAGGTTATGCTTGAAATTATTTTGCCATTCACACCGGAGTCTTTATCCGTTACGCTTATAAGGGAAATAATTGTTCCTGGCTTGGAATCTTCCGACACTGTATTAGACAGTGATGTGACTTCTATTTCCGGTGTATTATCGTTGACGTCTATTATCTTAATAACGACTCTACACTCACCTGTTAATGGTAAGGTTGCTTTATCTGATGCCTCAACGACGAGTTTATAAACGTCGTTTTCTTCATAGTCCACTACCCCTGTCACCCTAATCTCTCCAGTTAATTTATTCAATTCAAAGATGTCATATATTTTTCGCCTCAAGGTTTTTCCAAATGTGTATTCAACTTCTCCGTTAGTGCCTTCATCGGGGTCTGTTGCATTCATTTTAAATATCAAAGTACCGACGGGAATATTTTCCTTTATTGCAATTTGGTAAATCTCCTGAATAAACATCGGACTATTATCATTACTATCAAGAACAATAATAGAAACATTAAGTGTGCCTGATTTTGGAGGTTTACCTCCATCAACTGCAGTAACCAGCAGCGTGTGTTTGTTCTTTTGTTCTCTGTCCAACGATTTCCTCAGAACTAGAAATGGTATTTTATCCTCATCGCTTTGGCGGATATCTATTTCAAAATGTTCATTTGACGTTAAAGTGTATGTACGAATAGAGTTTACTCCAGCATCGGGGTCGCGAGCAGTGTGCAGTTGAAATCGTTTTCCTGGTAATGTGTGCTCAGCTATTTCAAATATCTGTTCCCTTTCAGGGAAACTAGGAGAATGATCATTCACATCGGTAATTTCTACAACTACGTAGTGTATTTCCAAAGGAGATTCAACGAGGATTTTGAGCTCCATAAGGCAGGCACCGCCTCCCTGACACAGCTCCTCTCTGTCAATATGCTTGTTGACGTAGAGAGCCCCATTATCCTGGTTTACTTCAAAAATAGCGTCCTTACTTCCAGACACAACGCGGAACCGTCGAGCAATCAAAGAGGGGATTTCAACACCAAGATCCTTGGCCACATTTCCAACAACTGTCCCTTCTCTTACCTCCTCTGGAATAGAGTAGCGTATCTGAGCCAAAGCCTGATTCGTGAACAGCAGGGGTAAAGCCAAATAAAAAGCAAACCAGGAGCAGTCCTTTGTCCGAGGTTTTGTATCGGTCCACATCATTATCCAACAACACATTCACCAACAGGATCCGGTTACTTTGAAAAACGGTTATTTAAATCCATCCCGTTGAATAACGCGATTTGCAAGAGACGAATTGTGACTCTAACGACTGGTTTGCTTGATTCAGTAAGAAACAAAAGCCTTGGAAGGGGAGGTTCAAAGTCGTCTCTGGTTTCCCAATGTAATAGTGACACCCAGAGGAAACTATTCAAAATAAACGTTACTACTTGTTTAGGTTACAAAACGTTTCCCGAAAAAGCTGATATAAATAACCGTACATTAAGGAACTATACCAACATAATTTCATTGAATTAAAGAAATTGATTAGTTGCACTTTTGTAGAGCCATATTAACTCAGGCTGTTAAGTTGTCAGAGTTTTAGGAAGAATAAAAGCAATACTTCTCAATACGTTTTTTTAACATTGCAAATTAGTTTGACATAATCACGAGTTTCAGCAGGGAAGAAACCACACGTATTCACACAACCATTTGTGGCGGGGTGGTCGTTTTTAAAGGCAGAGCCACCCAAATACCAAAATGCCTGACAACGCCACCTGGGGATTTTCGCCCCAGGAAATATTTAATTTACACCTCAGAAATAAGAAGGCTCTACAAGTTCGTGACTGACACAAGACAGAGACGTGGTTCAATTAGAATGAAAACGTTTAACAGTTTATTTCAAAATGTCAATCACATGTATTTGTTTATTCTTGGTTAAAACACTTTATATAGAAAATTACTCAAATCAATGAGGGGATAAGGGGAGTGGGCAGATGCCAGCCAGGGGGAGGCAGTCTGTGTCCCACTTACCCACCACCGGTGCTCACTGCAAATCAAAACTCACTACAAACTGTGTCCCAGTGCTCCTATCACTACAAGCCGTGAAGGGAATTAGACTGTGGGCCTAGCCTCCACCACTAGCTGGCTCCAACTCCACTACAAGGGGCAAAGAAACAACACATGAGTATAAAGCAGAAGAAACAATTATCCAGTTGGTCCAAACGAGCAAACAGTAAAATACACTAAAATCCTAAATATAAGACAGCAAAACTAAATAAAAAAAAACCTAACTCAAGCAAAACCTAACTGTAGCAAAACAGCAGCTGATACCACCACTACTCAGTATGATTAATACTAAAGTACTAAGGAACAACACACATCCCTCCAGGTTAACAGGAACTTCAGGCATCACACTTGGTCAAAGGAGCAGGTGGACCAGGATACAAGCGGACAGGAGGCCTTAAGGTGGCAAAAGGCAGTCAGCAAACGAACCAAACACTGCCATGATGCCACAGGTGCCTTAAATACCCCTGAGTTAATTAGGGGTTGGCTCTGGGGGAGGAGTTTACCTACTTTAGGTGATGGTGAGTTCAGGGCCTAGATATTAGTGTGGGACAGTTACCTGAACCCAATGTTCCTGCTACACATTCAACTAAAACAACACTCGGTTTCAAAACAACTAAGTCCATGAATACTTAATGAATCCTGTACTCTATAGATTATCACTTTCAATCAATCTTTTGTCAGTACTTGGAATATTCTCAGGCAATAATTTGAAAATATATTTTCTTAAATATTTCTTAAAGGACACCTATCATGCTATATTTAAATGATATATTGTAGGGCCATACCTATATAAGGTATATTTATACGTTTCTGTTTTCAAAATACCAAACAGATCATGCATTTTAGCCATGCCTCATTTCGCTCTATTTGCTGTTCTCCAGCACTGTTTTTGCACGGGGCTGATTCTGTGAGCTGCAGCTGACCACGCCCCCCTGCAGGAGAGGGGAGCCGTGCTGTGATCAAGTCAGAAGAGGGGGAGAAAAATAGATCTCCGTCCTCCGTGTTTTATTATATTATTATAGGCCTATAGAGTCGTTATTCATTTGTTTTAAAGCTCAATAAATAACAAAGAAGAGCTTTGACCGGCACTTTTCTAATTTTGTCCGGAAGATTTAAACTTTAACGGACATCTTGACCGGCGAAAGAAAACCTAACTGAAACTCTGCCGCACGGTCCCCTCGTTCCTTGGAAGAGGCAGAGAGGTGGGTGGTTGTCATCTGCTGGTGGACTAACCGGAGAGAATTACAGTGCTTGCCTCGACGGGGAGGGATTGCATTGAATTACAGCAGCGGGAGCAAACGCTTGCCTCGGGGAGGGAGAAAAAAAAGCCACAGCGGAGAATAAACAGAAGGGTAACCATAGCAACCATGCGCGGGAAGTCTTCTTCGCTGCTTTTGTGGCAGACTACAGCGCCACTTACAGGCCTGGCATATGTACTACAGCGTCTCCAGCGCTTTCGAGCGGCAATGGCCGGCCGTGGCCCAACCCCACATTCCCCTGATAGGTGGAGAGTTGGCCCAATAGCCGTAGCGCCACTATCCTGACGTCAGGACAGTGTTCAAATCTGGATCAGTTTTTATCAGATCCGTTGCAGCCCCTTTTTTAGAGATTTGGGTATGGAGGAAAATAGAGAGGGTTGTGTTTTCTGACACTTGGTGAGTTCCCTGGAACACCGGGGACACATATTCATGTATAAAAGACGTACAAAAGTGCATTTTGCATGATAGATCCCCTTTAATAAATACCTTGGTGGGACTTTCTTGGTAAATAGCAGGAACATGGTAACTTCAGCACCATGGACAGCGGTCATAATCAGGGAAATGGTTGTCACTATAATGTGACGGGGTCAGTTTTAATGGGATCTGATGTGTTTTTATATTAAGTATTGCCGTGTTTTAATTGTGTGAGTTCGTAGCAACATGTGTTCAATTTCCTACTGCCCCTGAACTAAGCACCATGGAACGGCAGCAGCAATCAGCGCGTTGCGGCAACAATTTTAACTCTGACTCTTTTCAGTCTTAGTTATTTTCCAAACTCGCCACACTAACACAGACTGGAATATTTTCTATCTGTTGAGTGATTACAATTCATCATGGTTCTGAGTGTTTATCAATCAACAGGATAGACAAACAAAGTCCACAGTGGCTGGTGTACAAAAAACGATTTGTTATAGACTTGCATTTATGTATCCCTTTCTATGTAAATGCTAATTTTGTTTGATAATTGAGACAAAATAGAACCCTATAGAAATGTGTATGAACTCACACAAGAAAGAAACAACTTTTGAAATATTTGATTTTGCCCATAATTACTTTTGTGGCTGTGAAAAATACTTTTGTGACACGATACGAAGCAACCTTTGCAAAAAGCAAAACAAACATAGCATTTAACATCGTACCATATTGTTTAAAATTGTGTTTTTTAGGTCTTACCTCTGTAGATGTTCCCCTCCTGTCAGGAAGCACCAGTGTGTTGGCATGGCTGCCCGGGACTATAGTAGATCCTATACTCATTCTGGGTCCAACTAACATGTAGCGCTTGTCTCCAGATCTGTACTGGATGCTGTGACACAGTGTCCCATCATAGTTAGTCTCTTGTAGATATTTAGAAGTATAGTCTGTGGATTTAGAGCACTGCATTGCAATCAGCACGATGATACTGATGAGAAAAAGTGTTGAGACTGAGCCCAAAGTTATCATCAGGTAAAAAGTCACATTATTATCCTCATCATCCTTGGTTGCACTTTTAACATCAGCAGCAGCAAAAGCCTCTCTGGGCTCCACAAGTTTAACAACCACAGTAGCTGTTGCTGACAGGGAAACGTTGCCATTGTCTTTCACCAGTATGAGCAGTTTATGCTCAGCCTCGTCTGTCTCTGTGAATGAGCGAAGTGTTCTGATCTGTCCTGTATAGCGGTCCAAACCAAAGAGACTGTGGGCAGTAACTTCCTGCAGTGAGAACAGTAACCAGCCGTTATATCCTATATCAGCGTCATAGGCTCTGACTTTAGTCACCAAGTGTCCTGCGTTCACATTGCGGGGAATCTCCTCCACACCTTCAGCAGAACCGTTAGAGCTGACCGGATACAGGATGACTGGAGCGTTGTCGTTCTGATCCAGAATGAACACGTGCACTGTGACGTTGCTGCTTAGTGACGGAGTTCCAGAATCTGTGGCGACAACTTGGAACCGGAACGTTTTCAGAGTCTCAAAGTCAAAGCTTTTTTGCGCCAAAATATCTCCAGTTTCAGAGTTGATATTCAAAAAAGATGCCATATCATTATGACCACGTTCTCCTCTAATTATACGATAGGACACTGCAGCATTTTCGTTTAAGTCCTTATCAAATGCACTCACAGAAAATATGGATTTGCCAGGAGCATTGCTTTCAGTCAAATATAATTCCAAAGGATTGTGTGTGAACACTGGGATGTTATCATTCACATCTGACACCTGTATACTCAACGTTTTGAAAGTGGAAAGGGGAGGCTCACCACAATCTGTAGCTGTTATTGAAATGTCATACTGTGACACAGTTTCCCTGTCCAGTATTTCTTTTGTCACTAATGAATACATGTTTTCTTTAAACGACGGTTTTAATTCAAATGGTACATTTCCTGTCAGACTGCACTTGATTTTGCCATTCAGGCCAGAATCAATGTCGGTAACACTAATAAGAGAGATCACGGTACCTTGTTTTGAATCCTCTGGGACCATGCTAGATATAGATGTCACCTCTATTTCTGGTTCATTGTCATTCACATCTTGAATCTTTATTATAACTCTACAGTCTGTTGTCGTCGGAGGCTGACCTTTGTCCGAGGCTTGGACGTCTAAATTATAAACATCAGCTGCTTCATAGTCAATTTGTCCTTTAACCTTTATTTCGCCAGTATTTCTGTCTAGAGTAAATAGCTCCAAAACCTTGGAGTTAATGTCGCCTCCAAATGCATATTCGACATCCCCATTAGCTCCCTCGTCGAGATCCGTTGCCTGCACTTTTGTTACAACCGCATCCAAAGCAACATTTTCTTGTAATAATACAGAATAAACCTCCTTCGAAAAAGTTGGTCTGTTATCATTGATATCGAGAACATTTATGGTAAGATTAATATTTGCTGACTTCTGCGGTGTCCCCCCATCCATAGCGGTTAAAACCAAGCTATGGTTTGTTTTCTGCTCTCTGTCTAAGTGCCTCTGCAGCACCAAGAAAGGGATTTTGTCCTCTCCCCTTTCTCTAATTTCAAGATTAAAATGATCGTTTTGACTGAGTTTATAGCGCTGGACTGAATTAATTCCGATATCTGGATCTCGTGCGACAGGTAACTGAAATCGTGCTCCTGGCGATGTATGCTCAGCTATTTCTATAACCTTTTCTCTCTCGATAAATGTCGGTACATGGTCGTTTGCATCAGTTATTTCCACTGTGACATAATGGATTTCAAGTGGATTTTCAACCACGATTTTCAGATCTATTAAACAAGGACCATTCCTGTCGCACAGACGTTCCCGGTCGATATTCTTATCAACATACAAAACCCCATTGTTCGGGTTTACCTCAAATAGCGCGTCTTGAGCTCCAGCCACAATACGAAAACGCCTGTTTAACAATGTACTCACATCAAGGCCCAAATCCTTGGCAACATTTCCAACATTAGATCCAATTTTAACTTCCTCTGGAGTCGAGTATTTTATTTGAGCTACAATTAGCTCAGCAAAGCTGAACAGCAAACAGAAAAGCAGGGGTCTCGACCAAGACATAATTCTTCCGTTGTATCCTCTGTCTCCTTTGGTATAATAATTTGAAAAGCATCCACAAATATATTCCACTTAAAACACCTTCAGTATTCCTGAGATTATATTCCAGGAAACCACGTTCGCAGGGGAAACGCACAGATCAAATCCGAAACGAAGGCATTCTTTGTGTGGTGCAGCTGAAATACACATTTTGAAAGGGGCAGAATCAATGTAACCTGACACTTTAGCAACTAGTGACACCCAGTGGACCATTTCAGCATGTATTATAAAAGAAGAAATATATATGTTTTAATTGTCCACGAAATATAAGCTTCTCCAGTAGGAATATCAGTCACACGAAATGCTAAACAACAAATAATCAACAAAATGTTGAATATTCCAGCAGCTTTCATATGGCAAAACAAACATATCGTAGGGCAGCCTACAGTTTATAAAACACATGGATTGTGATAGCTTATTGTATCAGTCCTGTTGCCTGCATGCAACCCAACACTAAAGTAATTATATTGCTACTAGGGACTATAATAGATTCTAAGATACTAGACAAACGTTCAGCACCATGGACAGTGCTTGAACCTGTGTAGCCTTGTAAGTATATGTTTATTTTAAAGTTGTTGCTGAAATTAGAAAACACGCTCTCTTTTTGAAAACATACAATGAGGCCGGCATGAAAACGTTCAGACTGCAGTGCCATGCACAAAGGACATCTAATGATAGAAACAGTAATAGAATAAATACCCCGAACATATTTGATAATTTCCGGAGAGGGAAAGCACTGCATATTTCTGAAACACCAACCACATGAAAACCATTTAGCTCTTTCACAAATAGCAAGCACTAAGAAAATCACCTCTTTGTTGTACAATAAGTAGAAGAAGTTAGCCGCAATAAGTTATCTGTACAAGTTAAAGTATATGCAATACAAAAGTTATTCAATTAATGATTAAGTCTTACCTCTGTGGATGTTCCCCTTCTGTCAGGAAGCACCAGTGTGTTGGCATGGCTGCCCGGGACTATAGTAGATCCTATACTCATTCTGGGTCCAACTAACATGTACCGCTTGTCTCCAGATCTGTACTGGATGCTGTGACACAGTGTCCCATCATAGTTAGTCTCTTGTAGATATTTAGAAGTATAGTCTGTGGACTTAGAGCACTGCATTGCAATCAGCACGATGATGCTGATGAGAAAAAGTGTTGAGACTGAGCCCAAAGTTATCATCAGGTAAAAAGTCACATTATTATCCTCATCATCCTTTGTTGCACTTTTAACATCAGCAGCAGCAAAAGCCTCTCTGGGCTCCACAAGTTTGACAACCACAGTAGCTGTTGCTGACAGGGAAACGTTGCCATTGTCTTTCACCAGTATGAGCAGTTTATGCTCAGCCTCGTCTGTCTCTGTGAATGAGCGAAGTGTTCTGATCTGTCCTGTATAGCGGTCCAAACCAAAGAGACTGTGGGCAGTAACTTCCTGCAGTGAGAACAGTAACCAGCCGTTATATCCTATATCAGCGTCATAGGCTCTGACTTTAGTCACCAAGTGTCCTGCGTTCACATTGCGGGGAATCTCCTCCACACCTTCAGCAGAACCGTTAGAGCTGACCGGATACAGGATGACTGGAGCGTTGTCGTTCTGATCCAGAATGAACACGTGCACTGTGACATTGCTGCTTAGTGACGGAGTTCCAGAATCTGTGGCGACAACTTGGAACTGGAACGTTTTCAGAGTCTCAAAGTCAAAGCTTTTTAGCGCCGAAATATCTCCAGTTTCAGAGTTGATATTTAGGAATGACGTCATATCACGAAGCAGGCCATCCCCTCTCACAAGGTGGTATGTTATTAGTGCATTTTCATTCATATCATTATCAGCTGCATTTACAGAAAATATTGATGCACCAGGGGCATTGTTTTCTACCAAATAAAGTTCCAATGGATTCTGACTGAAAAGTGGCCTGTTGTCGTTTACATCTGACACCTGAACACTTAAGGTTTTTACGGTGTAAAGTTGAGGTTCCCCGCAGTCAGTAGCTGTTATTGTGATGTCATAATGGGACACAACTTCTCTGTCTAAACGCCCCTTTGTGACTAGGGAATACATGTTTTCCTCAATGGATGGCGTCAAATCAAACGGAACATTTTCCAATATTTTACAAATAACCTTACCATTAACCCCCGCATCTCTGTCAGTAACACTGATGAGAGATATGACTGTGCCAGGCTTTAAATCTTCTGGGACTATGTTAGACAATGATGTTACCTCAATGTCTGGCGTGTTGTCGTTCATATCTTTTATTTTAATCACAACTCTGCTTTCGGCCGTCCAAGGTGGCTGGCCTTTATCTGAAGCCTGCAGATCTAGTCTATACATCTCCGCGTCCTCAAAGTCCACTTTTCCTTTCAATCGAATCTCACCGGTCACGCTGTCTAATTCAAATGTATCTTGCACTTTTTTCTTTTGCGTTTTTCCAAACGTGTATTCAATGTCGCTATTTAAACCTTCATCTAAATCTGTAGCATTTATTTGTATTACAAGGGTTCCTATCAGGGCATTTTCATCTAATGACACAGTGTATATATCTTTGCTAAACACAGGGTGGTTATCATTTGCATCTAGCACAGTGATAGTTACATTTAAGCTCCCAGATTTTGACGGACTGCCCCCATCTAGAGCTGTCAGGACTAAACGGTGTTCTGCCTTTTGCTCCCTATCTAAAGGCTTTTTCAGCACTAAGAATGGTATCTTGTCCTCCTCGCTGTCTCTGATTTCTATATAAAAAAAAACATTTGAGCTCAATTTGTATATCCGGACTGAGTGTGTACCGACATCAGGGTCTCTAGCTGCATGGATCTGGAAACGAGTGCCTGGAGGAGTATGCTCTGCTATTTCCAGGCGCTGCTCGCTTTCTGGAAAAGTCGGTGAATGATCATTAACATCCGTTATTTCCACGCCGACGTAGTGGATTTCCAGTGGGCTTTCAACAACAATTTTTAGATTGATCAAACAAACCTTGATTCCTTCACAGAGCTCTTCGCGGTCCAGAGTTTTTCCAATATACAACACTCCATTGATTTGATTCAATTGAAACAGCGCATCATTGGGTCCTGAAACGATACGGAACCGCCTGTCTGTCAAAGTGCTGATATCAAGCCCTAAATCTTTAGCAACATTTCCAACAACTGAGCCAACTTGTACTTCTTCTGGAACAGAGTATCTTAGCTGAGCTGAAACCAGTTCTCCAAAGCCCAGAAACAAAATCCCGGCCATCCAGCAGCAGTTCACTCGGCGCCTTTGTCCTCGTTCTCCCATTGTGAAACAAAAATTAAGGATTTCCTTCCGGCAAATACAGCGATCCAATTATTCAACGAACAAGTCTGAATTTATCCATTTCACGATTCTCAAATATAAGCTTCCACACATAACCATTAACCGATAATCATATTAGATACCCTACGATGTGTACTCCGTCTGCATACCACCTCGATAAGAGAGGATCCAGAGATGGGCAGGGCCTGTGCAGAATGAGCTTCACAGCCATTACCTTGGCCACACTGACACCATGTGACCAGTGGGCTACAATACCATACGAAATCATAATTTTGTTTAATTTCACTACCTCCTTCTTTATTACATATAACTGCTTTGTGTTATAATGTTGCAAACAGTCTCGTAGTAAAGGACACATAAAACGTGCTCCATATTCTCACTCTGTGAAGGGTGAGAATCTTCCCGAAAGTCAAAAAACATATTTTGCATGTTTCTCAGCAACCCCCAACCAGAGTGTGTTGTTCTTATGTAGTTAAACAACACTTCGGGTGGCCTTAGATTAATTTAAAAAACGTGGCTTGAAGTACGAATAGTAACTAAATGTGTATTATAGACATTTTGTAAAACATAGTGATTATTCCCCTCCAATGCCAATAACTGAGAAAATCACCCCCAACAAAAAAGTATATTTATATTAAAGCACCATGGACGGCACCATTTCACACCAGCAGGGAGAAATACAGAAAACAAAAACAATGTCTCTAACCTTAAACAACATATCGACAACAATGTAATATATAGTTGTACAATACCGTTGTGTAAGAAATAAAACATACATTTACCTCTGTGGATGTTCCCCTCCTGTCAGGAAGCACTAGTGTGTTGCCATGGCTGCCCGGGACTATAGTAGATCCTATACTCATTCTGGGTCCAACTAACATGTAGCGCTTGTCTCCAGATCTGTACTGGATGCTGTGACACAGTGTCCCATCATAGTTAGTCTCTTGTAGATATTTAGAAGTATAGTCTGTGGTTTTAGAGCACTGCATTGCAATCAGCACGATGATACTGATGAGAAAAAGTGTTGAGACTGAGCCCAAAGTTATCATCAGGTAAAAAGTCACATTATTATCCTCATCATCCTTTGTTGCACTTTTAACATCAGCAGCAGCAAAAGCCTCTCTGGGCTCCACAAGTTTGACAACCACAGTAGCTGTTGCTGACAGGGAAACGTTGCCATTGTCTTTCACCAGTATAAGCAGTTTATGCTCAGCCTCGTCCGTCTCTGTGAATGAGCGAAGTGTTCTGATCTGTCCTGTATAGCGGTCCAAACCAAAGAGACTGTGGGCAGTAACTTCCTGCAGTGAGAACAGTAACCAGCCGTTATATCCTATATCAGCGTCATAGGCTCTGACTTTAGTCACCAAGTGTCCTGCGTTCACATTGCGGGGAATCTCCTCCACACCTTCAGCAGAACCGTTAGAGCTGACCGGATACAGGATGACTGGAGCGTTGTCGTTCTGATCCAGAATGAACACGTGCACTGTGACGTTGCTGCTTAGTGACGGAGTTCCAGAATCTGTGGCGACAACTTGGAACTTGAACGTTTTCAGAGTTTCAAAGTCAAAGCTTTTTAGCGCCGAAATATCTCCAGTTTCAGAGTTGATATTCAAAAAAGATGCCATATCATTATGACCACGTTCTCCTCTAATAATACGATAGGACACTGCAGCATTTTC